TATCAAAAACACCCAAAGAATCGCAAGTTTTTGTCAGTGTATGTTTTGTGAGGCTGGGAAATATTTATCGAAGTGGATTCCAAGAGTGTATTATACCTGAGAAAGAAAACTGTAATTTTTATTGCACTGAATTCATTGACACAGATATGTTATCTCAAGAAACTGAGAGTGGCTGTAGCAGCTTACTGGGCTGGCTAACTGAAACTTGGACTTAAAGGTGGCCTACATTACATTAAGGAGAAAGGTCAAAACTTCCTTGGTATACTATAAAACAACATATCCAAAGACAGAGATCTAGGAATGCCAGTCAGTGGGGACCTCTAAAAGCAGAACCTCATGGAGTTAGCAATACACCTTCACTTTTTTTTTTTTTGAGACGGAGTTTCGCTCTTGTTATCCAGGCTGGAGTGCAATGGCGCGATCTTGGCTCACCGCAACCTCCGCCTCCCGGGTTCAGGCAATTCTCCTGCCTCAGCCTCCTGAGCAGCTGGGACTACAGGCACGCGCCACCATGCCCAGCTAAGTTTTTGTATTTTTAGTAGAGACGGGGTTTCACCATGTTGACCAGGATGGTCTTGATCTCTTGACCTCGTGATCCACCCGCCTCGGCCTCCCAAAGTGCTGGGATTACAGGCGTGAGCCACCGCGCCCGGCCTTACACCTTCACTTTTTTCGCTCAAAGCTATATCAACTCTCCAGCCCTCTATCAAAATCTAGCCTGCTATGACCTAATCATTTCACCGTTTCATGGGAGATCATGCTGGCCTACTACACTGATAAAATCATAGTGATTGGACAGGGTGAGTACTACTTGATACCCTAGGCACGCTGGTAAGACAGGTGTGTAACAGATGATAGGAAACAAATCCCAAACCAAACCCGAGGAACCTACCACCTTAGTGACATGTTTTGCTTCCAATGGTCTCTAGTACATCAAAGTATCCTTTATAAGGTGAACACGAAAATATCTCTTGCAAGATTAAGGATAGTTGTTGCATCTGGCATCTCCCATCACAAAGAAAGAAGCCCAACATATTAGATTTTGGAGGCAACATCGATCTCATTTGGGCATGCCACTATGGCCTATTTACTGAGTCAGCCATGAGGACTGCCACAAGGGGGCAGTGTGGGGTCTTGGAAAGTTCCCTGACTTCAACCAGTTGGGTAGAGGGGGTGGGGGGAATCTTGAGCCTATTTTCTCATGTGTAAAATGAAAATAAATACCTTCCTCGGAAGGCTATGGTACTGTAAAATGAGATAACAGGTGAAAACCTACTTTAAAGTACACATCTTCAGGTGCTAGCTGTGCCACTCTGCCATTTGATGCTATGCCAGTGACAAATTTTTTCAGCCCAGAGTAAAAATTATTCCCTAAGCATTGCTAAAAATCCCATGTTTTTGTATTGAGTTGTATCCCCGATACAGAAGTGCAAATGAAACATTAATGTAGAGTTTAGAAAATAATTATGATGTAACACCCTTCCAACCTAGCACTTGAGTCAGAAATAAAATATTGTCAGTTGGCTGCTAACCCTGCGCAAGGGCACCCTAGTGAGGATAAGGAGCAAGTGGGGCCTAAAGTATACCAAGCTTCTACTGAGAACTGTTGGGTGAAATATGCACTGACTACCGCTCCCCCACCCCCGCCCTGACTCTAAAAGGACAAGCTGGGATTATTCTGAGCTCATCCCACCCGACTTCTCTACTGGGGCAGACAGATTGCTGGCTCTCCTCCCTTCCAGGAAATATCACACACAGAACACCAGGGGGTGGCAACTCCCCACAGATATTGGTACCTGGGACAACAACAGCTAAACCAAGGATGAAGCAGCTTGGCATTCTACTTTTTTAAATTTTCCTCTTTTCCCTCTCCTCTGCAGGCCTGCAGAACACATCACAGTGGCATAGTGCAAAGATTCATGGCTTTAGTAACAAGGAGACCTAGGCTTCAACCCCAACTCTACCACTATCTTTGACCTTGAACAAGTGACCCCACCTCTCCAAGCCATGGTTCCCTTATCCAGAAAAATAGAGTACAAAAACACTACCTAGCCCACAGGATTGTTGGAATGATTAAGTGAGATAATGTGGGTAAACAGCAAAACATTATCCAAATATTAGTTGTTTGTAGGCATCATCATAATTAACCTAAGGCTGGCATGGTGGCTCACATCGGTAATCCTAGCACTTTGGGAGGCCAAGGCAGGTGGATCACCTGAGGTCGGGAATTCACCTGTAATCCCAGCTACTCAGCAGGCTGAGGCAGGAGAATCGCTGGAACCCCAGAGACAGAGGCTGCAGTGAGCTGAGATCGTGCCACTGCACCCCAGCCTGGGTGACAGAGTGAGACTCTGTCTAAAAAATAAATAAATAAATAAATAAATAATCTGATTTGATTATCACCAACCCTGGCAGGCAGGATAGGTAAATACGCTTCCCAAGTTTCTGATGAAGAAATTGACCCAAGAATCATGATGATAATGTGGTTTCATTTTCTTTTTGTTGTTGTTGTTGGGTTTTTTTGAGACAGAGTTTCATTCTGTTGCCCAGGCTGGAGTGCTGTGGTGTGATCTTGACTCATTGCAACCTCCGCCTCCTGGGTTCAAGTGATTTTCTTGCCTCGGCCTCCCAAGTAGCTGAGACTACAGGCATGGTCCACCATGCCCAGCTAATTTTTGTATTTCAGAGACGGGGTTTCACCGGGTTGGCCAGGCTGGTCTTGAACTCCTGACCTCAGGTGATCCACTTGCCTCAGCCTCCCAAAGTGCTGAGATTATGGGCATAAGCCACCGTGCCCGGCATGGTTTCATTTTCTGAGACTCGCCTTCAACCCTTTTGCCATGATGACAGCTGGCCTTCAGAGACTCATTGATAACCCTTTGGAGATATTTGGGGTTCTAAGGCCCAAATATGTTATGAGTGCTAAAAGCCACATAACTAATCAGTGGCCAAGTCAGGAGCCAAAGAGCCAGCTCACTGTGCTCCCAGTCCAGGGATCCAGGCACTTTCTCGCCACCTCATTAATTGTGCTCAACTGCTTACTGCAGGATCCCATCTGTGAGTCTTATCTTCCTGCCTAGACTATGAGCTAAAAGAGAAAAAAATAATTCTCAAGGGATATTTATTCTTATGGAAAAGCATTTATGCTATGTTGCTAAATGAAGCAAGGGATTTATAAAACAGTTTGTACAACATGATCCCAGTGTGTATTTATGTATACTGGCAGAGGAAAACAGTAGAAAGTCATGACACACAATGGTAAAAATGCTTATCTCTGTGTAGCAGAATTACAGGTGATTTATGTGTTTTTCCCTTACACTATTGCATCTGTTTCTAGATTTCTCCCATGAACATGTTTTACTTCTGTGATCAGAACTAATATCCGTGTGTGTGTGTGTGTGTGTGTGTGTGTGTGTGTGTGTATTATACTATTTCAATTGTCCATTTAGGAAATTACTACATTAAGAGTCAGAGAGCTTGAGCTGCCCTCCCTCAATAATTTATCATGACTTTGCACAAGCTTCTTAACCCCTGAGCCTCAGTTTCTCCACCGGAAATATGAGAATATCACCCGTCACCCTGTCCCCAGAAGGCTCCAAACCTCCCCTGTCTGGCTGCCACAAGTCATTCCCCTTCTCCTCAGCCAAGCTTCTGAGCAGTCACAGAACACCTGCCTCTGCCTCCACTTCCCCATCCCTTTAATTAATCCCTCACCTAGCCATAGCTTGGGTTCTGTTCCCTCTTCTGCAAATCGGATTCTACACAGGTGGCCTCTTCAATGCCAAAGCCGACTGCCTCTCTGCTCCTTTTCCTCCACCTCGACCTCCTTGTCCTGCTGTTTCCCCTGACGGGGGTCTCTTCACTGCTCCCTCCTTGAAGCACACTCTTCCCTCACCTTCTCTGACCGCAGCTTGCCTCAGTTTCCTCAGCCCCTGTGGCTGCTGCTTCTCCCAAGGCTCTGGCTCAGAAGGGGTTCCCTGGGTTGTGGGAGCCCCTTTCCTCTCTCTTCGCTTCGTGCATGACCTCTCCCAAACCAGCAGCCTCCAGCACCACAAGCAGTGAGCAACCTACACTTCCCTAATCTCTCTCCTGGGCCCCACCCCGCTACCCTCCTGCTGTCAGAAGCTGAGAACCTTTTCTCCCCAGTTCCCTCCCCATTCCACCAATCCTCCTCTGAAAATGGTTTTTCAGGTGCTGTTCACCCAGGGACAAACTCAAGACCGCTCAGTGAGGGGTTCTGCCCACCTTCCTGCAGCCCTGCTGAGGACTCCAGCCAGTTAACCCAGGGGACAGCGTCATGGACCTCATCATGGCATCTCATCAACATGATTCTTGTGGACTCCTCCCGGTATCCCTGACTTCTCTCTGTCCCTCCGGACTAGCCTTAAATACAGACCTCACCGCCAGGTGCATCACAGCTATTACTGAGCACTGGCCAGGATCGGGCATTGAGGGCTTTGCCTATATTCTCATTTCTTTCTCATGACAACCATGGGAGTGAAATACCATCATTACCTCCATTTTTTTTTTTTTTTTTCTTAATAAAGACAGGGTCTCACTATTTTGTCCAGGTTGATCTCAAACTCCTGAACTCAAGCTATTGTCTTGGCCTCCCAAAGTGCTGGGATTATAGATGCAAGCCACCGGGCATGGCCTACTCCCTTCATTCCAATGATGAGAAAAGTGAGTTATGGAGAGTTTAAGTAACCTGCTAAGTCTTAGAGCTGGGATTGGAATACAAGGTAATCTGATTCAACTGCAGCTCATGTGCCCTAAACCACTCGGCTACATGGCAATTTTACCTCTTACCAGACTCACCTATAGGATAAAGTCCACACCTGCCTGCGAGGACCCTCATACAGCTCAGACACACTGTTTCAGTCCTAGGACCCAGTGTGTTCACTTGGTGCCTTCCTACGCTCCATCCTGACTGCACCCTTCAGCTGCCCACTTTCACACCTTCACCCGTGTCTTCTTGCCACCCAGAGCCTCAACCCCACCTCCATGTGTTGAAATGCTCCCATCCTCCAAGGCCTTCTCAAAAGCCTCTTCCTCTGTGCAGGGTAGGTCACGCAGTATGATGGGGGACGAGCCCGTGGCGATGGGGAGACGGCAGGCCTGATGACACGGTTCTTGCCCTTCCAAAAGGTGACTGGGAGATCCAGACCCCTCACTGTGGGCCTGTGCCCTCATCCGTAAGATAGAGGGGGTGAGACTAGATCATCTTTAGGAGCCCTTCTTGCTCTGACAGTCCGAGACCCCACTGCTTTCACAATCCCCCAAAATGGTGGTAAAGTTGCCTTTTTAAATCCCTTTAACAGTCACAGAATGGAGAGAATGTCAGGGCTGGGAAGGACTTCAGAGGAAACTAATCTCATCCCCTCACTCCCCTCCCCACCACCAGGCCTGGCAAACCATCTGGGGAGTGGTGGGAGGGAGGCAGTGCTCTCTGCTCCACCAAGAACCCATCTCAGCAGGTCCCCAGCCCCGCAGAGAAGGGATGGGAGGAGCCTGGAAGGGCAAAATCTGCAGAGCCTGGCTCTGGGCCTGGCCTGGGCTGCCCAGCTTCCAGGAGGCCTCAGTAGATTTCCATAACCAACAGGCCAGCAGCCCAGGACATGTGCTCCCCTCTCCCATGTCCCCCCCACATTCCTCTGCACATTCAGGCAGCAAAATGGCATTCAGGGCTCTGTTGGGGGCGGAAACAGACACACACAAAGACTCACAGATACAGGTTTAGCCACAAACACACAGACCCAGAGAGATAACGCAGATCCTGACAGGGTCAAAGTGCTCAGACACGAACAGCACCCACAGATACAATACACCCACCCTGCCAGAGCCACCACGACCATTCTCAGAGGCACATGTGTGTAAAAGCATCACAAAGATATTCATCTTGTGCAGACACAGGCACACGCATAGCAGGCAGTCACGTGCCCACTCAGCAGTTGCCCCCATGCCCCTGCCATCCTCCCTCCTCCCTTGAGCCCCCACACTCCTTGTCTAGGTCAAATCTTGGGCAAGGAATGGAAAAAAGTCCCAAGCTGCCCCAGTTGTGGGAGTCAGGACAGAAGCCAGACAGTCCGGGAACCAGCTGAGCTCTTTCCCTGCTGAGAAGTCCCCATTTTTTAATTCCGCAGAATTCATCGGACCCATCGTGTTCCCCGGAGGCCAGGGTGAGGCTGGTTGCTGGATGCTGGATGGTTCCCCAGCCCACCTCATGGCTCTATCTCTAGCCTCTGGGGTTCCAGCTTCGTCCCCAGCTGCATGCGGAGGGCAGAGGGGCTTCTTGAAAGTCATTTCCCAGACGCATTGCCCTCCAGTCCTCTGTCCAGCCACCTGGCACCTCCACCCTCACCCCATCTCCCTCCTTCAGCCCCACTTCTGTCCTCCAGGAGATTAACGCAACTCATTCCCCGGGCCCACCACACTGAGCCAACCAGACACAAGGCCTTGAGCAGGGGGACCCTGTGACTTAGGCCCATGCCCAGCCTCCGGCTGTGTGTCCACTGAGTACCTGGGGTCAGGGGTTTGCTGGGACGGCCTGGCCCCCATGTTTGGAGTGGGCAGTCCTGGACTCCAGTCCCAGCCTCACTCCCTTCTTGTCTTAGGACGTTGGGCAGGCGGCTTCAACTCTGAGGCTCAGAGTCCGTTATTTATAAATTGATGGTAATAATACCACCTACCTCTCAACAACAAATACAGAGTTAATTCAGAACTCTGGCTTTAACCAAGAAACAGGTTGAGCGACTTGAACTAGATTCGACCTCTCCTGGCCTCGGCTTCCCTGTCCGCAACGGTAGCCCTTGCCACCCTGGATGTACAGAGCAGGTGGCCTCCCGGGGGGCCTCCTGCCAATGGGCTCCCCTCCTCCGCGCCCACCTCGCCCCCAGCCCCGCTCCCCGTTCCCACGCCTGGTCCCAGCCGGCAGGGCTGTCAGCCGGAAGGGATTTGCAGCCGGAGAGGAATCAGCTGGGTCCGCACAGAGGCCGCCTTGTCCCGGTGGGGACCCGAGCCCGCGCAGTCACGTTGCTCTACAGGCGGCCGTGGTGCCAGCGCCCAGCCCGCCCCCGCCCGGCCCGGGTGCGCTTCAAGGGCCGGCGCCGGATTTCCTGGCCCCGCGCCCAGCGCCCCGCGGGCTGTTTAGGGGCCCGCGGTGCCGGGAGAGCAGGGCCTCCGAGGGTGCACAGCTTCCGCCCCAGCTCCCGCGCCTGGTGGAAGGGGTCGGGGCGCACACCTCGCCTGCCCTCTCCCACCCCAGCCCTGCAAACTGGATCCCCCTCCCCTTTCCCCCAAAGGGAACAGGCCTGGCCTCCTGCCCCCTTCCCCAGTCACAGTCATCCCGATCTATGATCAAGCATTTCTGAAGAAAAAGTCTTGGAACTTGGAAGACCTCTCTGGATAAGCCTCAATGAAGCTGGATGGGAAGGTGGGAGGCCTCCTGAGCCATTCCCGGTGTGGGCCCCACATCTGAGTCCATTGTAGGCATAGAATCAGGATGTTCTGGGTCTGGATTGGAAGCCGATCCAAATGGACCCTGTTGGGGTGTTGGTATCTCCTCTTCGTGTTCAGGGTGTGTGCTGGGACCTGGGTGCTCTTATTTGGATGCTGGGTTCTTCGCGGAGTTTCTGGATGGCGTTGTGGCGACCCAGTACCGAGCCTGCAGTGGAAGCTCAGCCGGGTGCTGGGACCTTTTCTTTGTGTTCAGAGCCCAGCTGTGAGTTCTCTCAGGGTCAGTGGTTTGGGCTTTCGCTAGTGTGGGTGTTGGAGCCCAGCCAGCGTGGGGTTCAGTGTTGGGTTCTTCTTTGGGTATCCAGAGTCTGGGCTTGGGACATGCCCTTGTGGATCAGGCCCAAGTGTAAGCAGCCACTCCAGGTTTGTTTGAGACCCCTGAACAGGGATACAGGGTCCAGCCCTAGACCCTCGCATTGGTCTAAAGGCAGACATCACCGCTAAGCCTCTGCTCTGCTTCACCAAGATCACTATGGGATCAGCAAAAAGAGGGGAGGAGGGGCTCTGCAGCTCAGCTTGACAGCCTCTCTTTAGAGCCCAGGAACTGGAGGCAGACCTTAGACTTGAGCTGGAGTCAGTCAGGACCTCACTCTGACCAGAGAAACGTCCCTTCCTTCTCTAGCCTCAGCTTCCTCACCAATAAAATGAAAAGTTGGATTTTATGTTCTCCAAGGCCCCTAGGGCACCCTCTCCCTAGTACACATAGAAGCGCACACACAGTCACGTTAGTTTCTCAGGCCAGTCTTCCCACTTTGCCCATGCTAATCTTCCTACTTAGAATGCCCTCTTTCTTCTCTCCCCAGTCTCTACCAGTCCCTCAAGCCTCTGCCCCTCCTTTTTCCAGGCCCAGAGTTGAAGCCCTCCTGCCCTGAGACCACAGGCAGCCACAGAGCTAGACTGACTCTTCCAGCTCTCTCCATCAGGCTGGGAGCTCTCTGAGCTCAAGGCCCTGTCTGCTCCTGGCTCCCATCCTGAGACGTTGTTCTAGAGGGGCCTGGAGTCCCAAGATCAGCTCAGCCACCATCCCAGACTTGCAGTTGACCCTTTAAGAAGAATCTCTTTAGTCTCTAACACTCCGGATGGCGGGTGGGCACTAATCGGATTTGGGAGCCTGTCTCTTGCCCACCCCAATCCTCCTTTCCAGGCCACTGCACCCATGTGACAGCCAGTCTGGAGCAGCAGGGAGGCCTCAGGACCACGTGGGTCCAGACAGGTAGTTGGGAGACTGTCCTCTCAAGGCTCTCTCTCCTGGGTGACTGTGTTCCCAGCACAGACAGAAGTTAGAAACCCCAGAAGGCAGGAATGATCTAGGCACTTACCCTGTACTCTGGACCAACTGGCACAGTGGAGCATGTGCCCGTGAGTACCCACGTGTGTGTATGTGGGAACACATATACACACACACACACACACACACACACACACACACATCTCAGAGAGGGAGCTGAGCCAGATTCTGGGCTAGGCACTTCCCAAACAATATTTCTTAGATTTCAAAGCAGCCTTATAGGAATCATTAGCCCTATCAGCAGAGGGAAGGCTCAGAGAGGGGAAGGGGCTAATCTGAGACCACATAGCTGATAAATGTGGAATCCAAATTCCAAGCCATGTGTTTCGCACAGCACCACCCTGATGCTCTCTCACACGCATGCACAGGTGCACACACAGCCTTCACACACTTGTACACAACCCCCAAACCAATTGTTGTGTATCAAAGCTGGAAGGAGACTTAAAAGATCGTCTTGTCTTGTCCTGTCCATTCTATTTTATGAAAAAAGAAAGGGAAGGGATTTGTTTAAGTTTTCAAGAGTTATGAAATGGCAGAACCAAGACTGACATCCACACCTTTGTTGTCACACCGAGTCACATGTATACACATCCACAAACCACGGAGTTTACTCATAGACTCTCACATGCAAACCCACAAGCATACCCATTAACATACACACACAAACCCACGAACCCATGAGCATACCCACAGACATTCACCCTTCACACACACACATACACACACACACACATACATGGACAGAGAGTCACATATGCACACACACATACACTCATTCCCATACAATCCTCATACTCACAGATCTACTCACACACACGCCATAACACACACCCATGTTCCCTGACTCCCACACTCACATGTACCCACCCTCTTGATGCAAAAGAGATAAGCTGACCCTGATAGGGGCTCTGAACAGATAAGGCTGGACCATGGAGTGGGGGTGCACATGGAGCCTTTAAGAGGGGGTGCATTGGAACCAGTGAGGCATTGTGTGGGTGTTCCCTGGCACTGCCGTCTGCAGCCCTGGAGAGTGCATTCTGCCAACAGCTCTCCACAGGCCTGGGCAACCCGCCCCACATCACCTTGGCCAAGCTCAGCAGGTAGCCCCAGAAAATGTCAAGTCATGGGCCAAGAGTGTCTGGGCCAGGCTGGCAGCAGGGCTGGTCCCAGCTTGTTCACTAATATTTATCTTCTGCCTGGAGCCCGTTTAGGGACTCTCCTCACTCCATGGGCCAGACCCTGAGTCATGAGGCCTCTTCCTACACCCAAGTGAAGATGAGGATTGAGGCATCAGGATTTGGGGACAGAGACCCAGAGCTGCTAATGGGGTTTACCGAGGTTCGTGAGCTAGCTAACTCAGGCTTCTGCATGACACTTTGAGATGGGCCAGTTAAGCCAACTAAGTCTTTCTTTTTTTTTTTTTTTTTTTTTTTTTTTTTTTTTTTTTTTGAGACGGAGTTTCACTCTTGTTACCCAGGCTGGAGTGCAATGGCGCGATCTCGGCTCACCGCAACCTCCGCCTCCCGGGTTCAGGCAATTCTCCTGCCCCAGCCTCCTGAGTAGCTGGGATTACAGGCACGCGCCACCATGCCCAGCTAATGTTTTGTGTTTTTAGTAGAGACGGGGTTTCACCATGTTGACCGGGATGGTCTCGATCTCTTGACCTCGTGATCCACCCGCCTCGGCCTCCCAAAGTGCTGGGATTACAGGCTTGAGCCACCGCGCCTGGCGCCAACTAAGTCTTTCTCGGTGACTGAAACACTATGTACATATCAAATACAGCCAATCTCAAAACCTAGTCCATGAAGAAGGGAGCTGTCAAAGTCTTCTAATAGAGGAGCACTGTGAGGGAAGCAGACAAGTGGACCAGAGGGGAGGCCACTTAAGCTGGGTCTTGAGGGGTGAATAGGAATTCACAAAGAAGCTTTTGAGGCAGAGAGAAAAATATTTCAGAGAACAGTTGAAATGTGGTTGGAAGTGGAGGGTAGGGTGAAGGAATAGATGAGGCCAGTTAGAGTCAAGCACTCAGCAAACATTTATCAAGTATCTGCTGCATGCTGGCTGATGGCATGTAAAATACAAGGACCTGGGTCTCTCAAGGAGCTCAGACTCAAAGGTCCCAAATTTAAGTGCTTTCAGGTGCCAGGAAGGTGATCTAGATGAGTAAAAATGGAGGGCATTTTGGGTTAATAGGGACTAGTGATGTTTGTTTCTAACAGGAGAGCCCATGTCCTGTCGAAAGCTTTTACATTCAAGAGTATTTGTCACCTATAATCCCAGTACTGTGGGAGGCCAAGGAGGGAGGATCACTTGAGCCCAGGAGTTCAAGACCAGCCTGGGCAACATAACAAGACCTCCTCTCTACTAAAAATATAAAATAAAAATTAGCCAGGTGTGGTGGCACACACCTGTGGTCTCAGGTACTCAGAAGGCTAAGGTGAGAGGATTCCTTGAGTCCAGGACTTTGAGGCCACAGTGAGCTGTGATCTGATCACGCCACTGAACTCTAGTCTGGCCAACAGAGTGAACGCTGCCTCAACAACAACAACAAAAAAACACTGGGTTTGGTGGCTCATGCCTGTAATCCCAGCACTTTGAGAGGCCGAGGAGGGCAGATCAGGAGGTCAGGAGTTCGAGACAAACCTGGCCAATATAGTGAAACCGTCTCTACTAAAAATACAAAAATTAGGCCAGGCGCGGTGGCTCAAGCCTGTAATCCCAGCACTTTGGGAGGCTGAGGCGGGTGGATCACGAGGTCGAGAGATCGAGACCATCCCGGTCAACATGGTGAAACCCCGTCTCTACTAAAAATACAAAACATTAGCTGGGCATGGTGGCGCGTGCCTGTAATCCCAGCTACTCAGGAGGCTGAGGCAGGAGAATTGCCTGAACCCAGGAGGCGGAGGTTGCGGTGAGCCGAGATCGCGCCATTGCACTCCAGCCTGGGTAACAAGAGTGAAACTCCGTCTCAAAAAAAAAAAAAAATACAAAAATTAGCTGGGCATGGTGGCATGCACCTGTAGTCCCAGCTACTGGGGAGTTGAGGCAGAAGAATCACTTGAACCAAGAGGCGGAGGTTGCAGTGAGCCAAGATCGTGCCACTGCACCACTCCAGCCTGGGCAACAGAGTGAGACTCTGTCTAAAAAAAAAAGAAAAGAAAAAATCTGTCCATCCTGTGGCAACCAGAAAAAAAAAAAAGCCTGCATTGTGGACTAGGTTTAGCAGTAGACCTTGAATTTGCAGCCTAAGGTTCTGGACTCTGGAGTCTAGACCCTAGAATCTGGAGAAGGCTTGCAGGTGGAGCTGAGGAGTCCAATCCTGATGCTGTAGGTAGCCTAAGACCCGTGAAAGGTTCTTGCCATGAATGAACATTTGTCATAGGAACCTCCCAGAAAACAAATCTTTCACACTGTGACTGCTAGATATGACAGGACAGTGTGTGTGCTGCCCAAGATCCCAAGGACAAGGACAAGCTTTTCCTGTGCCCGTCACAACTGTGTCCTGGCCAGGGCCACTATCTTCACGCAACACATCATCTTCACGCCTTCTCCCACCCCAGACCCAATTCCTCCTCTCTCTACCCACATCTTATATAGAAAAACTGACTAAATTGGGTCCCCCCACATTTCTCTTTCTGACCTAAGGCCACCACAAAGGTCAACCCCCCCCCCCACACACACACACATAGGAGAATGAGGAGATGCTCTGTCAGCCCTGTCCCTGGCATTCCTCACAAAGCCCTTCTGGCTGTGGGCACTGGGGAAGTGGCCTCCATTCTGCAGAGGTGAGTGGCCTGGGAGGAGGAAGTGTCCAGGCCATAGAGGCGGAGGCCATCAAATAAACGACCTTGCATTTTGCTAATGTTTATGTGTGTTGGTCTTAGTATAAAAGTGTGAAAAGGTTGTTGGATGTCAATTAAGAATTACCTGATTCTAAGCCTGGGCCAAATCAATTTTGCTGGGTGACCTCAGGGAATTCCCTGCCCCTTTCTGAGTCTCAGTTTCCCCTCTGTAAAGTGAGGGGTTAGACTAGTTGGTCTAGAAGTGATTTTCTCTGTGTTTCATCTCATGGAAATGTCAGAACAGCTTTACAGATGAAAATGCTGGACTTGGTGTCCTGAGTCCCCCGAAGTCCCATAGGACACCTGGGGACTAGGTTGGTGACCAGGCAGGGGTGGGGCGTACCTAGGTTAGATACCATTCTACCATTGCATGGGGCAGGAGGGGGTCATGGCCAGGCACCCAGCACAGCCATCTTCCCTCCCCAACACCCACACAGACCCCGGATGCTGGGCTTTGGAGCCCAGAAGCTTCACTGGGCAGAAACGGGCCCCCTTCCCACTCCCCACCAGCTGCAGCCTCCCTTCTGGATCCTCATTAAATTATTCTGCCCCACCGGTCCCAGACTCAAGCTGCGTTTGATGTGTGCCCATCTAGCATCTGAGGCCAAGACCAGGCCCCTCACACCAGGCCAGGCTGATGGGCTCTGACAGCTTCCATGGGGCCCCATGGTGGCAGGAAGACCAAGGCCCACACTCACACCCACAGGGACACATGCTCAGACCCGTGCACAACCACAGATATTTTCCTACACGTTTATAAGCTGTGTAACTGTGAGCACGTTACTAACTTCTCTGGGCCTCTGTTTTCTTTCCTGCAGAATGGAAATAATAGTACACTCTGTCAATTGAGGAAAATAGTGAGACAAGTCTCAATCATTTTAGGAGGTTGATTTGCCAAAGTTAAGGACATGCCCAGGAGACAGGTTTATGTCTTTCTTTGAAGGTGATTTTCAGGTCTCCCAATTTAAAGGGGAAAGGGTGGGATATTGAGAAGTATACCGTTTTCCTGTAAGTGAATCCGAATTTTTTACGTAAGATGGCATAAACAAAGGGGCAGAGGAAAAATGGGAGGAATCTGCATTTTCCATAAAATAACACAGACACAATGGGGTAGAGGAACAATCAGATATGCATTTACGTCTGGTGGGCTGGGGTGACTGCCCTGTAAAGATAAGCTATCAATATGCATTGCCATTGTGAAGTTTTAACAGCTCACTAGGAATTTCCTT